TTTCCCGCCCGCAGAAAGCATCGTTCGCTGGCAGTCGGCCTATGAGTGAGGACGTGTAGTGAGCGCTCGTCGGATTCCAGTAAGGTGTAAAATGATGGAACAATATGAGCAGCGATATTGTATCAAATGTTGCCAAAAGCTTCGCAATACCCAAGTGGAAACCATTCGCAAGATTCAACAGGCTTTCAGGGTCGATGCCATGAGCAACTCACAGATAAAGGAGTGGTAAAACCGCTTCAAAGATGGCTGCACATCAGTGGACAGCGAACCGCGTTCACGCAGACCCTCAACAAGCCAAAATGAGAATGTCATTGAGCAAGTGTGGAATTTGGTCATGGAGGACTGTCGTATAACAGTCCGAGAGTTTGCAAATGAGATAGGGGTAAGCATTGGATCGGTATATTCAATTTTGACCGAGGATTTGGGCATGAGGATAGTGGCCGCGAAATTTGTACCGAAACTGCTAACAATGGAGCAGAAGCAATGCCGTCTGGAAATAGCACAGGACATGCTGGACAATGCAAACAGTAACCCCAACTTTCTGAACACCGTGATCACAGGCGATGAGTCATGGGTTTATGGGTACGACCCGGAAACCAAGATGCAGTCGTCACAGTGGAAACATCCGACATCCCTGAGGCCAAAAAAAAGCACGGCAGGTCCACAGCAATGTCAAGGTCATGTTGGCCGTTTTCTTCGACTCCTGTGGGGTTGTGCATCATGAGTACGCACAAGGTCAAACCATCACAAAGGAATACTACCAGGAGGTCCTTTGTCGCCTTTGTGATGCTGTGTGGCGCAAACGACCAGATCTGTGGGCAGCAAAAACTTAGCAGCTCCATCATGATAATGCACCCGCCCATTCTGCGCATCTGATTCAGACTTTCGTCGCCAAACACAACATCCCTGTGGTTCGTCAGGCTCCCTACTCCCCCAACGTGGCTCCATGTGACTTTTGGCTATTTCCCAAGCTGAAAATGCCGCTGAAAGGAACCTGATTTGAGTCAAGAGAAGACATCATATGGAATGCGACAGCCTGGCTGATCACCATTCCAAAAGACGCATTCCAGAAGTGTTTCCAACAATGGCGGAAGCGCTGGGTGAAGTGTGTGCATTACCAAGGAGACTACTTTGAAGGGGATTAGGGTTTTGTACCTCCAAATCAATAAATGTATTTCTGCCGACCAAAGGTTCGATACTTTTTGAACACACCACATATACAAAAATACCGCAAGTTAGTGACTGACATGGGGTCTAGATTGGTAATTTGAGTTACTGGACTCTTTTATCTCCTAATTACAGGTAACTACAACAGTTTCATGGATCTACACAATCCAAAAATCACTACTTCAAACATTAAAGCTTCTACATCTTCACCAGGCATTGCTAGGTTACAGTTCCTGACAGTGTCGATTCTTCTGCTTGTGTTTTATGTTGTTGCTAGCTGGCTACCATCCTGCAACTAACACAACTTACTAGACATGACTGGCCAACTCAAAGTCAAAGTTACTATACAACTGGGGGTTTACTGCAAATCAGTTTGTCTTGGTGTCAAGCCCCTCGAGACTCATGACCAGAGACATTTTTTTCAACTCAACCCTCATGAGCACAGTCCTTATGTAACATCCTCTCTGATGAGAAGATGGTTTTCTCTCTTATGAATATGCTTGGTCTTTCATCAGGTTTATGTATCATACAAGTCCTCTATCAGTACAGGCTTTGCAAAGCAGATAACATTTATCTTACGTATCTTATGCTACAAAGGCAGCTTAGCCACTTGAACGGTTCTAAGCTTGACCACTGCCAAGTTTCAGTCTCTTACACTGTCTATGCATTGCTTCACCTTGTCCTAGACTGCGAACCTGTTCATTCTAATGATTTTGTACAACTTCTTGTTGCTTGCACAATTTTGGAACATAATTGTATATATACAAAAGGTTGAAAGCTATATGTAAATTGCAGACCAGTGTGCACTGTGGACAATTTCCAATGGTGCAGAAAACCTTTTTTTGTAGGCACTGCAATTTTAAGAGGGAGGTGCCTGCCACTAATATAATTAGTTTTCTCTGCATTTACTTCTTTACCAACCTCCTATAAGCATCATTAGTGTTATAGTGTTATTCTTTATGGTATCTATTTTATCTTCCATTATCATCAGCATTGAACAGCATCTGATGTATCTCACGAGTTCTAGTGCCACCTGATTTTCCTACACCTTGTTAGCATATTCTAAAGCAAGATTGAAAAGCTATGGCGATGAACCATCAAACCATTTTAGACCGTTCTGAGTAGGAAACATATCAGAAAAATGTTTACCTATATGGAATTTACTTTAGGTTTCATTTAAACACATTCTAATCAGCCTAACACCATACTCTAGAGAATATCGTACAGAACTTCTCTCTTAACCGAATCATAAGCTTTCTTGGTATCTGTAAGTAGCTGATGTACTTTCTCATTTTTTTCTTCAATGTCTGACAAATTCAAAATATCTGATTAGTTAATTGATCTGTTACATCGAAACCCACACTAATGATTCTCAGTAATTTGGTCTATGTATGGACTTAAACTTGAGAGAAGGATATTGAATAAAATTTTGTATTATGTTGATAAAGAATGATATTCCTCAATAATTACCACAGTCAGTTTTATGACCCTTCTTGTAAAGTGGTACAATAATAGATTCTTTCACTGACCAAGAAGTTCTTCCTTACTCCAAAAAGAATTAACGAGTTTATGGATCTCAGGTCATAATGTTTCGCGTCCTGCTTACATCATTTCTGCCAGAATGTGATCACTACTGGACTACTTACACTTCTTTTCAAATTTGCAATAGCAATTCCAACCTCAGAAGGATTAGTATCAAGTGTTAATGGCTGAGCTCTGTGTATTTATATTTGCCTAACATCACTGACTCTACATACTTTCAGTAGCTGACAGAAATAATTCTTCCACCTATTCAGAATACTGTGGGACTCTGCAAGCAAATCACCATTCTCATCTTTTAACATGCTCTAGGTTGGTAACCCTTCTTAAATTCATTTATTCCTCTATACAGGTCACTAATATTCTTGTTCTGTGTACTTCAAGCTCATTAATTTTGTCTGTCAGTCCATCTTTTTATTTTTGAAAAAAGGGGAGAGAAGCTTCTGTATTTCATTATCATCTGTTTACTGCATCTTGCAGAGAAATGGAAAGTTAATATTTGTATATTCCACAGTAGTGCTGGGAGTGCCTTGTAGATATTGGTTTAGTTCTCAAGACTGTCCATTGTCTTGTGACATGTTGGGAATAGTTTTCACTCATCAGTAAGTAGATTATCATCCTGTGCTCCATTCATATTTGCATCAGTTTTAATCACAGGGGTGATTCAGGTCTTGCTCTTAGCACAGCAGAAGTAAATACATTGATGTTAAATTAATCCTGAAGTTTGGACATTGTCTCATAACTTATTCCTTCTTCATCATTTCCACCAGCTTGTCCATTTTGCATTGCAGTTACATTGAAGTAGGCCTTCCTAAGTAGTCTGTGGGTGTTTCCTTGCTGCTGCTCCTTCTTTCCTATGTTTGTTCAATTTTGATTTCATAATCATGTATATATTATCACCATCTTCGTGGTTTATGCAATTAAGCCTGTTCCAGCTAAAAATACAATAATCTCATTTTAAAATTTAAATGTAACAATACACAAGCTAAACAGACCATTACAAACATACTAGCTACATTTACGGGTGAACTAGTGAATGACATGTGGCTAAAGCAGTACATGAACAAAATTTCATACCATTTTCCATTAAAGTATGAGAAGACTGTTGCCAGAACTTTCAATACCACTTAAAAAAGAATAGGCAGCACAGGGCAATATGACCACAAAATAAGCCTGGGCAAGATCTAAGTGTTATTACCACACCTAGCTAACTACTGCTGTATGTGTTGTAACTGATCATTACGTACCAGCATAAATTTCAGAAATTTATGTTTCTTAGTACCAATTTTATACTAAATGTAATTTATGCCCAGTTTTGCATTAACTGTTCCATGAATTCACAATGAGGAATGTACAGATAAAGGCTACTAGAAGGTTATTTAATAGTCGACGTGGTATGTGAATGACTACTCATCCCACTGCCAGTCTGATAAAAGTAACTTCCAGAACATTCTTGAACTATGAAACAGGAGAAGAAGCTTCAAGAAGCTTCAAGAATGATCTGGAAAGAGAAGGTTCTGGATGTTACATCATCTCATGGTATTTAAAGGACTGATCCTGGATGGCAAAGATAGACAAGTGACAGACATGTACATGCTCAGTAACTCAGTGAGTCAGTTACGGAACAATCCGTGAGCATGTAGTAGTGTTGTAAATATTAAAGTTGTATAGTGTATCGGTGACTGTGAGTAACTGTTAAGTCATGTAGTGCTCTTAATAAATAAAGTGTATATATTAATATTGAGTTGTGATCCAGAGACTTCTTCACCAAGAAAACCTCTCTCGTCAGAGCAAGGCCCATTAAGCCCTAAGAGAGAATCTTATTGCTCGAACCCAGGACACTTTCCTCCCTTTACTCACATGGCACCTCGACATGGTTCCCAGACCATGTAACGTTCATATTGATCATGAAGGACAGCAAAGAACTCTTACTAGTAGTGCCCAAAGTGAAACTTCACCAAAAGGACTGCCAAAAGTGGCTCATCTCAACGCAGGGCTGCTATATTGTGTAAAAAGGCCTCTCCCAAGTGACGTCCAACACGTGGTAATTACATGAGGCCCCCCCAAAAAAAGAACTATTAGAGTGTTGATATCCATTTAATTTCAAAATGCCAGAAGACACTTTAATGATGTATCATTAGCTGAACACACAGGGTTAGAAAACTGTATTACATCAACATCACCCCACACAGTATCAAACATAACTGCTCACCCATTTCCATTCAGACACGACTTAAAAATCTTGTTGACTAGCCCTACTATATTAAGTTACACAGAACACTCAAACAACTTACATCATCAATAACAGCAGGCTCCAGCTCTGACAATGAGCGTCGCTTCTTGTGAACCTCTTTCACATCATCCTGTTCCTCCCCAGGTTCCACTGGTTCCACCTCATCCTGGTGAAGTCCCTTGTCACCTCGTGTCCCAACAGCCTCCTTGTCTGACAGGAACATAGGATAGCCACGCAGAGTTTGAGTGCCTAGGATCCAACTTGTGTTAAAGTTGTCGTAAATTAGCTTCCTTTGACGTGTGCTGCGACGCACACCTAACAACATATGAGAGCAGTCCTTAAAAAACAATTTAAATTGTTTCCGATTGAAAGTCCAATATATGGGCCCTACATGGAACAATCCATACGAACATTAGTTGGGAATGTGATTTGTTTCATTCTGGTCCATCACACTAACAATTACAAAGACAAGACAACTCCATCCAGTGTGACTATTTATGTTTTCACTACTTGAAAACTTAGTACTCTTAGATGTTTCAGTCCTTACGGACCATCTTCAGAGGGAATATTGATACTTATTTGGAAACTACTATCACAATGGGTATTTTGAGTGTTGTTTTCATACAGCATGCCACGAACAAATACAGGAAGATACCAAGAATCTCCTTCTCAAGATAAACAGGTGGCACAAGTTCAGCCCCCATCAAGAAAGACAATAGGAGAAAGGACACGAACCTAACTGGTTTATAAATTTTAACTTAAACAACAAAGTTTTAAAAACTTTAATGTACTAGAAAAGCTGCTGTGGTTGTGGAAAGGTTGGATTTTGTGTATACTGTGCATTCTAGGTATTATGTGTGTATGTATTTTAGCACTCAAAACACCAACTGTGACAGTAGTTTCCAAATAAGTATGGATGTGCCCTCTGAAGATGGTCCGTAAGGACGGAAACATGTAAGGGCACTAAGTTTTCAAGTAGTAAAAACTTAAATAGTCACACTGGAAGGAGCTGTTTTGTCTTTGTATTAGGTGGGAATTATGAAACACAAATCATAAACTTGGACAAGAAATTAACCTAAAATCAGTATTTAAAAAAAGAGCCTATAACTGAAGGAGAATTAATAAGAATCCAAATTCTATATCTTCTTTTTGTAGCAAAGTGCAGTGATAAAGAGTAAGTACAAAATAAAAAAAGTCTGATGAACAGCTGTTATAGTCAGTCACACCATCTGCTGCACAAAATCACAAAATCTGTTTACATATACTAAGACATCCAACCAGACATATACAAATATTTCACTTTATTATAATAATTCCCAATATCCGCTGTTCTTGTAAAAACTATGTTTCAACATCATTCATATTGCAATATGATGCCTGAAAGTCAGAGTGTAGGACTCAGAGGAGTGTTGCAAAAGGTGTCCACTAGTATGGCCTGTAAAAACATGCTTCTTCAGCAGCAAATACACAACAATCAGTCCACGTCAAAGTTATACAAAGAGGGCCAGTCACAGAGATTAACATAGTTTGCACTATTCGATGCTCCTTCAGATATGAAGTTACTTATCTGACAACTAGCATGGAACAGTCATGTATCTTCTTTTGTTTGTAACTAGACAATTTCAAAAGGTGTAAGTTCAAATCTGACTGGTACATATCCAATGTCAAAAATGACTTGGTACAATTTCTCCTCAAAATTTTTCAAAGACCTTCCAGCTGAAGGACAAGACATCACACAGAGCTGAGAGCTGTTATTCTAAGTTTCAGTATAGCACCATTCCTTCTGTGCAACATTTGTCAGAAAAGAAAACAAGTCATAAATTCCAAAAGCAAGAGAAACATCCTTCATTTCAAACTATAGCAGTATATGTATTGTATTCTGCTTATAATAGAGAGAAAAGACACTTGTAATATTTCTGACTTCCCTCAAAACAAGTACAGAATGTTCATCCTAACTGAGCTTAGCTTAACTCCGATTTGAACCTAGAAACAGTCCTCTTAAAAAAGGCGGATAAAACAATGACCATGTAGACCGGTCTCTGAAATCAGATTTATTTACAGTACTAGCCAGACTTGACATGAATCATCTCAACCTGCGAGAGGAAGAGATTCAAATTCGTCATGGTAACTAAACCTAATATAAATTATGCCTCATCCTTGACTTAAAAGCTGGTAATGTTCCAAAGTCCTGTTTGCATGGTGAGTCAGTCTTAAGTCAAAATATACTTCTTTCCTAGAGAAAATAATGTAATATGTGGTACCTGAGTGTGTACCGCACAGCACACAGCACACAGGAACATATCAAACCATAAGCCATATAACCTCAAGCTGACGTCTCCCATCTTCAGGATGAATTAACAAGGAGGAGTTCAGCATTTTATATCAAATATTTTAACATTTTAGCGTTTTAACTTAAAATAGGTTCGGATGAAAAGTGAGAACTTGAGAGTGTACTCAATTATCTTAGCATGTTTTGTGCTTTTACACGTCAACGTATTGTAGCAACGTCCACACGACAAACACAATTGTGAACATCAAAAACAGCGACAGTGTTTCCATAATTATAGCAAGTGCCTCTGAAGGTGGTTGTGTCAAACCGAAACATGTAAGGCAGAAATAATAATAAAAAGTGACCTACAAATTGTTACACTCGACGGACTTTCTACTAACTTTGTGATTGATAGTGTAACGCACCAAAATGAAACAATTAAAAAAAAAAAAGAATTTATATCTTATAATTAGATTTTAAAAAGCTGTGCACACGTGTGGACTGCGCAACCACATATGTGGTCATTAGTCTCTAAATAATTGGTCACTTCTTCTATTGTGACTGCCTTGAATGATGACTATCTTATGAATTCTCTTATGACTGAATCATTGAACTCCCTTATGAATTATTCCAATTGAATTCATGAATGAACCCTCTTTGGTCAAAACTAATATGTCACAATGTCTTACAGCTCCTCTGTTATTCTGTTGTTCCACTGACATAGAAACATGTATTAGCGAGCCATTGGCTAGCAATGGACTTCCAGATCTGTTTGTTGCTGAGAGAACATGTGTTTGGAAAGACGATGGCTAGCAATGGACTTCTGCTCTAGCTCCACTATTCCAGCTTACAGGCGCCATATCGCAGTATTAATGAATATTAAAGAGCGCCCAGAGAAAACTAAAAAAATGCAATTAGCCGACACATTATAAGGGTATATCTAAATGTGAATATGTATGAGAGCAAAGACATGCCAGCAATATAAAGCAATCATACCTTCTCCTTCTTGATTGTCATCTGCACCACGTTTCTCTGAGTTGCTATCATGACCATTCATTCCTTGATTGCCCATTTCTCCTTCTTCATCCGCTACCACTACTCCCAAAGCACGTGTTTTCACTGGTTTAGTTCTAGTTACACTATGATTAACATGGTGGCTTCTTGAAGAATCAGCACCCGAGCTCGTCTTTTGTTGAAGTGACAGAGATGTCCTCAGCGTCCGCCGACGAGAGGTTTGCCTCCGAACTCTGCTAGAACAAGGTAGTGTGCTCATTAACTTCATTAAAAGGATATTTAGTGTGACTCTTTGATATGAGAACTCCTCACAGTTCATACTGCTATCCTTAAAGACCACCAATGGAGAGAATATTGAACCATTTAAATCCAGTTCACAATGTGATATGACACCCAAACGCAGGAACAGTGAAGTCAGAATAGACTTTCACTGCTAGGGAACAACTCGGTAAACACGTACCCATGGCAATGAATACGCAAGAAACAACTGATTAGTTTCTGTTGCTATGCAAAGGTGCTGTAAACATGCCATCCCAACAATAGGGAGGCTATGTTTCCTGCATGGTCTGTGCAAACTGGTTATAAAGAAGAACTCAGATGAGAAGAGTTAGTAGGTCTCAATGTGACTTTGACTTTGACCCAGCCAGTTCGCCCATGAGGAGGCGGGTTTGAATACCTACGCTGTGACCCTGCGAGTCGTAGGAGGCGACGAAAAGGGAAGTCTCAAATTTGAGACAGTAATATATGGTCTCAAGTACCAAGGGACTCGGATCTGAGGACTGTGCTGGCAAGGACCAGCAGCATATACAAAAGAGAGACCTGTCCTCTCGTCAGAGAGGGTGCCAACAAAACACAAGACCGTAACTGTCAAATAGTAGTAAAGATCTGGTCGCAAGCCCCAGATGGGTGTTTTATGATAAGACAGACTGGCCAACTGACCGTTGATCATAAAATGAGACTCAGACTAAAACTCAGACTCAGAAGAGTTAGACGGGTTTCAAGACACCAGCCTGCTGGGATATGAGCTTGGGAGCAGAGGAAGTGAATTGAGTTGGCAGTTGCAGAATAATGGAAAGGAATTAGGCCATGAAAAGAAGACTTCACATGTGATTACAAGTTACAGTGAGACTATTAAAAATCCACTGCAACCATAAGACTAGTGAAGACTGAGAACCCTAGTGCGTGTGTAACGGTGAACTGAAAAGTGTGTACCAGTGATAGTGCTGTAATCACATATAGTTCCAAGTGCTATGTATAAGGTGTCAATAAATCCAATCATCAATCCAAATCACATCTATAAGTCACGCACACTCCCTACATGTGATAATACCCTCACAATCTATTTCCCTAACATCCAGTTTGCCACTTTCCTCATATTTCTTTCTTGGTCTTCCATATGAGGGTTTTACAAGTGGTTTCCCCTTTGCCATTCAACTTACATGTCCACAGTATTGTGACCTTGTATGCAACTCAAACACTAACACTAATAGCTGAGACTGAGATTTAAAAATAGTCGCATATTTAGTAACTAGACAAGGCGTTTGGATTGGTAATTGTATTTACTGCACTCTTGCAACTTATAGCCACAACCAATTATAATGCAATTGCTAATTCACACTCTTTACAATTCACAATGGCAGGCAATAAGTCTTCTCCCTCTCCTGTGTCTTCACTAGTGGTTGCCCAGCAACAGCTCATGATGCCAGATTCCTCAGCTTCCAGGTTCACGTCCTTACTTTCTGGCTGTCTCAAAACTCTTGTACCTCTGTGCCCAAGCCTCTGCCATGGGGTAGTGACTTTCTCACAATAACCACAGACCCAGACTAGATGTCTGCATCATAACTCATTAATTGAAGACTAGCTGCAGACTCACAATCTTGACAGCTAATCACTCACTACTCAATTGACTCAACATTGGTTTCGGTTCTCCAGACATAACTTCTGCACAAAACCTGAGCAGTTCCTCCCCTCCTTAGAAAGGGGATGGCGCCGCTTCTGCTCCTGGTTCATATGTGGGGTTCTCAATGCCTCCCCCCCCAAGGTAGAATGGGGTGTCCATGCTGCAATCTTAAGCAAAGATAGCCAGAAAACCTCCAGATATATAAGAAATATTTAATATAACAAAATGAATCAATATGGACAATCCAAATATAGACTCTACTCATGATGCCCCAAAACTGACATTGCATGGTTTGGGGATCCCTTGCCGTCAACGGCCAGTAG